CAGCCGACTGGGTCCTCAGCACGTGTCGAACTGTGCCTAATGGAGACCCGTACATCCAAAGGTTGATGCCGATACCGACGTATCCTAACGTTTTGCCTACTTCGTCATCGGTTTGGTTCGTAACTCTGGCAATGCCCAGCACCACATACGCAGTGATGACAGCATACCCTAAAAGAGCCCAAGCGAGCAACTTGTTCAATGCTGGACGGTCACTCGACCAACGATAATATATCGCAGTGAACACCATGGCTGCGAGCTCGCCGAACAGTTGCGTTGTCATGAGCGGAAAGATACTGTCGGTTAGGTACCCGTACAGCGTCCTGTTGATAACGAATATATAGAATTAGAGGACGATAGTGGTCCTACTGCAATGAAGGGAGTCGTACCATAGGTGGTTGTTGACGATCATTGCAATTAGCGGAAGTGCCGCCATCTCGCCTGTGGTCTTGTGCTTGTGAACACGGATAATGTCGGGTCCTGGACTGAGAATCATTCCAATCTGGGCGATAGAAGTAACCACGCGAAGTAGAGTCACCCAGACCGTCATGGTCTCCGCTGGGAAATGTGTTGAAGGGATCGAAGCGAGTTGAAAAATGAGCAGGTCGTTGGCATCGACTCGATGAGATCGAGGCGCAGTTCAAAAATCACGTTGCAGTCGGTTTCGCTGACGTACGCCGATTTGGGACGAATGGATAGCGTTCATTGGACAAAATAGGGTCTCCAGACCGGTCTAATCAAAGTCGATAGGAAGAGCACATCTCGTAGGTCGCTGTAACTCACTGTAACTAACTGTAGCGAGTCTCGCTCTGTCCAAAAGCACAGAGCAAGATCCTGACGACTGGCTACGAGGGCTTGGCGTGCACTGTGTCGATTGCGAGGTTGAAGGTCAGGTTCAACGTCGAGACAGATTACGAGCATGCACTCACGTCACTGTCATGAATAGTGACCGCGTAGCCAAGTTGTCCTCAGGTTATGGACTTGCGAGTGATACTGTAAACCCCTCCTACGTTTTTTGCTTCTTAGTTATTGTGCGTATTGACATGTGAAAAGAGGATATTCGAGTTAGATCGGAGTCTATAAATGCGGTATGTGTCCGCGAATGTCCATGGGTTTTCATAGGGACTTGGGCATGGATTTGAATGAATGAATGGTTCAGAGGTCCTCTATTTATGGTTTAGTAACTATGGAGTCGTGGAATCGCTGGAGGCTTTGCTTTATCAAAGGTCGATTCTGAAGGGGTGAAGTTTCAGACGCGTCAAAAGCTGGTCATTTAGATGTTTCCAAAGGAGGGGCGGAGCTCTTGCTTGGGAAACTACACTTCGGCTTGGATTTTGAACTTGCGAGTCCATACGCAAATGTAAAAAAGAAAACAACGTGGCTTTCGCGCATGCTACTGAAGAGTGGCGCACTACCATGTTATCGTGGCTGATACTATTTGTTCTAACCCAGCACGCACGCCAGTTAAGAGGGAAAATGAAGTACACACGTCTATTACCCTCCAATCAGTTGACATCGCTCTCGCTAGATTTTGTGCATATCCGTTGCAGTGGGGCGAATAAGTGCGATTGTGAATCCTGAGTTTGAAGCCAAAAAGTACAATAAAAAGTGTGTGCGAACTTAGCGCAGTGGCGCCAGACGCAATTGCGACATTTTGAACTGCAAACCTCCAAATTGTATCATCGGAAAGTGCGAAATTGATTCTTTCATTTTGGCGCAAAATGCAGCCTGAAAGTGCTGAAAAAAGCGCGTCACCACGGCGCGTCACATGGGTTGAGTACCGCTTCAATGCGAAAAGGGATCGACCGCATTCGAACACGGAAGTTCTCAAGGGCTTGCGTAGGCACCCCGCGGCGTGGTTTCTTTGCCACAATGTACGCGACCAAGATGAGAAGTAAAAACTTTCCCGCATCTTTGCCGCGAATGACGCGGCTGTTGCTCTCCACTGAAGCGCAACCACGATTGCTTTGACCGGGGTAAATCGTCGAAGCAGATATTTCATCACGCTGGCAGCGTAATGCTCCCTCTCGGCAGGGTGCACTTCCACAGTGATGTCTCGTATGCCAACGTCCCGCATTGCGCTCGGGAGCCCTGTCAAAAAGCAGAGTGATTGTCAAGTCAGGCTCACTTTACTCTTATGGTGTTTGTGTTTTGAACTGCAATTTTGGCGCGAACCTAGTGCCCGTCGGGAAAAGACGCAGTCGGTGCAAAGCCGCGAGTAAGGTTCGACTCCAAACTGCCTGCAAACTCAAGACTCAATTCCCACTTATTCGCCCCAATAGCATACAGTTGTGCACCTCCAATTCGGCAGGGCGGACCATATCAACAGTGCCAGGGCATAAGTGCACAACGTAAAGCATAAAACAAACGCAAATCCA